ATGATCCCAGGGTCCTGGGATCGAGCCCCACATCGGGCTCCCTGCTCAGCGGGAAGCCTGCTTCTCCCTCTCCCCTCCCCCTGCTTGTGTTCCCTCTCTCACTCTGTCTCTCTCTGTCAAATAAATAATAAAAAAAAAGAAGAAGATGTGGTCCATATATACAACGGAATATTACTCAGCCATCAGAAAGGATAAATACCTACCTCACATCCACTTGAAAGGCTACTATTAAAAAAAACCCCATAAAATACAAAGTATTGGCAAGGATGTGGAGAAACTGAAACCCTTGTGCACTGTTGGTGGGAGTCTAAAATGGTAGAGCTGCTGTGGTACACAGTAACGCAGATTCTCAAAAAATTAAAAACTGAATTACCATATGATCCAGTAGTCCCATTTCCAAAAAATTGAAAGCAGGGTCTCAAAGACATGTGTACACACATGTTCATAATATTATTCACAAACGCTAACACATGAAAGCAACCCAAGTGTCCAATGATGGATGAATGGATAAACAAAATGTGGTATATACAAAAAACTGAATATTACTGAGCCTTAAAAGGAAGGAAATTTTGGTATATTTCACTAAGTGAAATAAACCAGTCACAAAAACAGAAATACTGTATGATTCCACTTATATGAGGTGGTTCGTCAAATCATAGAGAGAGAAAGTAGAACAGTGGTTGCCAGGGGCTCGGGGAAGGAGAGAACAGGGAATTATTATTTAGTGGATATAGAATTTCAGTGCAAATGTAACTGAACCAATGTGAGTTCACTCCTTAGTGAGTCACAGAAACTACACCAGGTGAGTTGTCACACAAAGAAAAAAACTTTATTTGCAGCAAATAAGGAGATCACATGGAAGCTTCCAAAGCCATGACTCAGAGAGAGAGAGAGAGAACGGGTACCTTTGGTTTAGGGTTAGGGTGAATATTCAGATAGGGAAGCTCTGTCATCCTATGTAGAGGCAGGCATATGGGCGTACCTGTGCCTTAAGGAAGCATGCCTATACCTATACTGTATGTGGTGTAAATGAGACCGGGGCTCCTCTCTGGGCAGAGATTTTAGTATTACAATGAGGTAAAGGTAATTGACGGTCATTCCAGGCGTCAGGCCACTGGAGTCAGGGGTTTAGCTCAAAAGGTCTGGGTGGTCTGGCCTGCAGGTGTCATCAAGGCAGTCGGCATCACCTGAAGTGTGGTTTCAGGTTTCATTTGCCTGAGGTAAGAGGAAAACCGGAAAGAAGAGTTTAAGGAAAAACGTTAAGACAAAGGTTAGTGAGTGACAAGCAGGTGGGCAGTAAGGTCAGGTCTTGGGGTCTAGCCAGTGACAGGAAGAGTTATGGAAATGGATGGTGGAGATGGCTGCACAAAACTGTGGATGTGATGCCACTGTACACGTAGAAAAGGTTAGAATGGGAAATTTTGTGTATTTTACCAACATTTTTAAAAAATGGGGATGGGCGCCTGGGTGGCTCAGTTGGTTGGGCGACTGCCTTCGGCTCAGGTCATGATCCTGGAGTCCCGGGATCGAGTCCCGCATCGGGCTCCCTGCTCGGCGGGGAGTCTGCTTCTCCCTCTGACCCTCCCCTCTCTCATGTGCTCTCTCTCCTCTCTCATTCCCTCTCTCAAATAAATAAATAAAATCTTTAAAAAAAAAATGGGGAAAATGCCTACATTCCTAGTTCCTTATAATACCACTAGGGAGAGGTCAAGTGGCTGTTGGTTATCCACATTTATGTTTCTGAATTACCACTCACTCTGTGACCTTGGGCAAGCGACTTAGCCTCTCTGCATGCCAGCTTCCTCATCCACAAAATACCTACTTGAAAGTGTGAGGTGAGGATGAGATGAGTTTGCATGTGTAAAGCACTTAGTCTAGTGGAGTAAACACTATATATTCGCTGTTGTTGTTACTATCACCACCACTAAATCTATTCTCCGTAATCCAAATAAAATTATATCCTACCAAGGAGAAACCATTTGCATTTCATTCTCTGAAAGATGATGGATGGTCCAGCCCCAGGTTCAACATCTGATCGAACAATAACTGAATATTCCCTTCCTCAGCCAGAGCGCACTCATGGGAACTGCATCCTTTGGGCAGCAAGAGAAGTAAGATACTTACGCCCAACTGCATTCATTCAGCTAACGTTAACCGTGTACCTAGCCGAGCATCATACCAGATGCTGATTTTATTTGCTCATGGTCAGCACCTGCCACTGCCGTCTCTGGAACCCAAACCCTTGTCTCCTTATTGAACTGTGCTGATCATCTTAAAGAAATGTTCTATAAAAGCATTTCCCAGGATGAAATTAACAAGAATACAAGAGGGCACCCTCAACTCTCCATTTTATTTTCCTCCCTATAGTTGTATTAATAATAATTTTTTTAAAAAATGAACTCTACATTTCTTTCAAATTTAATAAAGCCAATTGTTCCAAAATAAGTTTTTGCCCAAAATCTGTCAAGAGGAAGACTTCAGGGAGACTTGGCAAAACGACGGAGCAGACCCTCCCCAGCCTTCCCTGGGCAGGCACATAAGCAGAGGCAAGAAGGTTGCTAGTGCTGCGCCCAGAGACCCCGGGACTGGGTAGGAAGGGCACACACGTGTACGGAGCATACTTGAAAGCTACCCTCCTCTCAAACTTCTGGCCGGGCACCAGCAGCGAACACTTCTCAAAACTTAACATTGACAGAGACCCAGATAAGATTTAGCCACTTGTTAAAGTGATAGGATGATGAAGTGATATGATGATTAATTATTATTTTATGAAGTCACAGCATGTGTTCAGGCAGCACAAAGGTAAAAAAACAAAACCAAAACCAAAAGCACTGCTTTGGGAGTCAGACCTGGGCTTGAGCTCCAGGGCTATTTCATAGCTGTGTGACTCTTGGCAAAGATTAACTTCCCTAAGTTTCATTTCCTTATCTATAGTATATGGCTTAAAATTCCTGCCTTTGAGGGTCTTTGTGGGGATTAAAGGAAATGATTCACACCACACACCTAGCTCATGTCTGACACAACAGAAAGCCAACAGGCTGGATGCTCTGCCCACTCTTCATTTTCAGGAAAAAAAATGTCCCAAGGAACTCAACCCTTGATTTAGAGGAGTAATGAGAATGGATCCCAGGCAAATATTGCCCCTAATTTTTCTAAGAGCCTAGTTCTGATAACTGATATTTTTTGGGACTCTGACAGTACTTGAGATGTTATTTTTAAAAATTCAACAAAATCTTCTCCAGTAGCTCTTTCTCACCCAGATTTTAGAGTGGGCAATCAAGAAGCTTTCAGCTTTATTCTGCAGAGTACCATATACATTCACAAGACCATGTACATATTGGTCTTATGAACTGGGCTCCTCTTATGTAAAAACCAATAACCTCTCTGAGTGTTTCATATCTCTGAAGTCTTGGCTTTAAAAAGAAAAAAAAAAGTATTGGCTCTGCATTTGTGGCATTTTACTAGGAGTTAGTTGTACAGATAGGTAGTCAGGGTCAGAGTCCCCAGTGAGAAAATACGGAGTCAGGACAGCTAAGATAAAACAGCACTGACATCCTGTTTTGCAGCTTAGACAGGACCACACTGACATTCTGCTTTGCAGCCTTTGCAGAAATGACTTCTGCAAAACGTCCTAAAATAAGACAATTAACCACAAAAGCATTTGTCAATATCTTGGGCAAGGGGCAGGTAAGACCTAAGCCCCCAGATATCAGCAAAAAAAGACCATCAGCACATGGACATTAACCCAATAGGTAGATAGATACGTGACCAAAGCCCTGATTGGCATGACTCAGCACATCCTGATTGCTTAAGGAAGTTCCGCAAAAGAGCTCATAAAAACTCCTAAACTTAGAAACTCCGGGGGCAACTCACTGGGGACTCCCTCCCTCTCTGGGAGCTTTATACTCTTGCTCAATAAACTTTGCTTTGCTGCCCACCACTCTTTGTCTGGTCTACCTCTTCATTCTTTGAAGTGGCACGACCAAGAACCACAGACACTAAAGGGACAAAAATCCTATAACAATTTCATGGTGTATTGAGGGGATCCCCAAGAGCATCCCCAGGTTTTAATGCTTTATTAAGAGGACTCATAAGGCAGCATATAGCCATATGGCTATGATTTGTTACACTGAAAGAATACAAAACATAATCAGCAAAGAAAAAATGTAGATGGGGTAAAGTATGGGGAAAACCAAGCATAAGCTTCAAAGAGTCCTCTCCCAGAACAGTCACCCAGGATACACAAGTTCTGACAACATGTGTGAAATGTTACCAACCAGGGATCTCATTAGACATTCAGTGCCCAGGATTTTTATTGGAGACTGGTCAGGTAGACACTCCCTGCCTGGCATGTAACCAAATTCCAGACTCCCAGAAGGAAAGCAGGTGCTCAGCTTCAACTGCACTGTTTGCACAAACCTTTTAAGTAGAGTGAGCTACTCTTACCATTTAGAGTGGTGTGAACCCTTCTCAAATCCAAGTTCCCAGACACCAGTAAAGGATCAAGCTTGTAAGCAGGCCTAAGGATAAACAGTCTCAGACTTGCTGTGTGAATTCTTTCCTGCACACAGGGGAACAAAAATCCAAATATCTAATTAATACCCGCCCACTGATCACTAAATTCTCAGAGCCAATTGATGTATTGAAATCCTTAAAAAAACCACGGTGAACATAATTCAGTGCTTCAAAATATATTCATTCAGCATATTTGTATGGTGACAGCCTGCTGTGCCCCAGGCATTAAGGAAATGACAAGTCCCTTAGTCCCCTTCCTTTAAGAATTTTCAGACCAATAGGAAAGATAAGAGAAGTACGTAAAGAGTGATAGCACAAGTTGGCATGGGATGATGGCCATAAAAGAGGTATAAACTGGGCCGGGTAGGGCAGGGAGAAGAAACTTCCTGCTGTGATGAACCAGGAAGTTCTGGTAAGAATTGTCATAGAGCTGCAGTTTTTTTGTTTTTTGTTTTTTTTTAAAGATTTTATTTATTTATTTGACAGAGAGAGAGATAGCGAGAGCAGGAACACAAGCAGGGGGAGTGGGAGAGGGAGAAGCAGGCTTCCCGCCGAGCAGGGAGCCCGATGTGGGACTCGATCCCAGGACCCTGGGATCATGACCTGAGCCGAAGGCAGACGCTTAACGACTGAGCCACCCAGGCACCCCTAGAGCTGCAGTTTTAAGGACAGGTAGGATTTGGAAGTAAGTGACAGGCTAGGAAGAGCCCAAGAAGGAGAATAAAAGTGTCACTCCAGGCACAGGAAGCTATGTGAACAAAGTACAGAGGCCGCTAGAGGGAAAGGGGAATATGATTAGACTAGAAGACAGGGTTCATAGAAAGAGGTAATAGAAGATAAGAATTAAAAACAGAGGCTGGAGGGGTCTGGGTGGCTCAGTCAGTTAAGCGTCGGACTCGGTTTTGGCTCAGGTCATGATCACAGCTTCGTGAGATCGAGCCTCATCAGGTTCCACAATGGGTGGGGAGTCTGCTTAAGATTCTCCCTCTCCCAGGCGCCTGGGTGGCATCTGCCTTTGACTCAAGCCATGATTCAGGGTCCTGGGATTGAGCCCCACATCAGGCTCCTTGCTCAGCAGGGAGTCTGCTTCTCTTTCTGTCCTTCCCCCCACTTGTGTTCTCTCTCTCTCAAATAAATAAATAAGTAAAATCTTAAAAAAAATACTCTCCCTCTCCTTCTGCTCCTCCCCCTGCTCACGTGCTCTCTTACTCTCTCTCAAAATAAACAAAATCTTAAAAAATTAAAAATAAATAAAAAATAAAAACAGAGGCTAGTATCAGATCAGTGAAGGTCTCAAATGTCAGACTGAGATTGTCCTTTATGTGGTAGGTAATGGGGAGCTCATGTGTGTGTCTGTGTGTGTTTTTACTTTTTTAATCATGCTACTTTAGCATGATTAGTGACTATAAGCCAAAGGGCTTTCTCAGTAAACTTCACAACAGTCAAAGAAGGCTGGAAGTAGCAGAGGAGATGAAATATAAATATTATTTGGGAAGAACACTGGGAAGGAAGCAGTAACAACGTGCCTCAGGAAATGCATGAATCAAACAAGACTCAAAGTTCTTAAACAGAGTTAATTTGTGCAGCAACCCAAGAATGCTGAGAAAGACAGGCAAAGGTAAAGGTAAAAACTAATAGCATGGCAGAAAATTCAGAAGACATGTCTAGAACTCCAGTGGAGAAGAGGAACCAATGCTCAGGAGAGAGGCTGTGGCTGGAACCAGAAACATGGCAGTTGCCAACCTAGAGTCTCAACTGGGGGTGGTTGAACTCAACAAGCGAAAGAATGCAAAGAAAAAGCACAGAAAAGGGGCTCCCGGGTGGCTCAGTTAAGCAACTGCCTTCAGCTCAGGTCATGATCTCCATGTCCCGGGATCGAGCCACGCATCGGGATCCTGCTCAGCGTGGAGCCTGCTTCTCCCTCTCTCTCTGCTACTCCCCCTGCTTGTGCTCTCTCTCTCTCCTTCTCTCTGTCAAATAAATAAATAAAATCTCTAAAAAAACAAACAAAAAAAGCACAGAGAAGAAAGCAGATGACATTGTGCTTGTCAAGTGAAGAGAGAAAGAGCAGTCAGGCTGGAAAATGAACAGTAGTGTGTCACAAAGCTGGGGAAAGAATTCCAGGAAAGAGGGAGCTGTCCACCTAGCCAAGTGCCACAAGGAGCAGAGGCTGAGTGGGGCAGAGAAAGGGGCACTCGCTAGACTGGGTAACGGGCATGTCACCAGTGACCTTTGCCAATCAAAGACAGAAAACCATCCCACAGAAAACTGTGTGAGAGCCAAGGCCTCTTGTCACTGTAAAAAAGAAGGTGAGATGAAGTTCTGGGGCTAGAGAAAGTAGTAGAAAGAGGACCCAACCTTCAAAAGAAGAGATGGTTGTAGAGACACGGTGTCTGAACAACAGTGGCATTGGCTGCCTGCCCCTTCTCTTTCGGTGGGCAGAAATGAGGAGATGCTCAGGGATAGTCAAAGGTGTTCCTCACCACCCAAAGGACAGGGATGATTGTGCAAAGCAGCCACTTCCTCAGCCAGCCATGGTGGACAATGGCAGAATGTAGGAGGAAATGAAATGCAGAACTGCCCTGGCCCTTCCAAGGGGACACTGGTGTGAGAGTGGCGGAGCCTCCATCTTCAGTATCAGATGTATCAACAGAAAAACCTCCCTGTCAGAGGCAGATGGTTCACTTTACTCCAGAATTCATCATTTGCAGGTCACTAAATGTTCCTCTTGAGGAAAAGTGGTCCTCTCCACTGTTAGAAGCTTACCTGTCGGTATCCACCAGCAGGCACAATATTTTTCCCCAGACACACAGACCCATTGGTAACAGGCATTTTTGAGAAGCCAAAGACTATACAGGGCAAGTCCACAGCTATGCATTTCTTTTGCCTCGAGCCAACAGAACTTGGCTCTTGAGCTTGACAAATAGTTAGCACTTACAAACACATACATACACACACACTGAGAAGTTCTCTTTAGACAGACTACTTCAGTTCAAATCCTGACTCTACCACTTACTAGCTTTATGATCTGAGACATCTCATAATCTCTGTTTTCTCATCTATAAAATGGGCTTAACAATAGTACCTATCTCATAAAGTTGTGGTGAGGATTACATGAGCTAATCTGTGTGAGTGTTCAATAACTGTTAGCTATTACTATCTCTTTTGAGTCTCACTATAATTCCATGAAGTAAAGCTAGGTAATCATTAACATCTATTACTAATAAGGACACTGAGGCTCAGAGAGGAAATACTTGCCTAATTTTCACACAGAACAGGACACAAGGCAGGATCTTAAAATAGCCCAGTCTCCTCAACAAGCTGCACAAAGCTCTCCACGATCAGCTGACTGCCTACCTCTCTGGCCTCAGGTCCTTCCAGTCTTGCTTTGAACATAAAATTGTGCCCATCGCACAATTTCCTGCCCTTAACTTTCTGATCCCTATTCATCCATCAATCTCCTCTCAAGTGCTGCCTCTTCTAGGAAGCCCTTGGCACTTGATCCCCCTTCCCCTCATGACCCCACCTCCTTCCTCTCTCCTTACATCTATTAACATCACATTGCATGGTAATCACAGAGGTCTGTCTTCCCCATTGATTTCTGAGCCTAAAACAATTTCTGGCATATGATGAACACTCAGCAAGTGTTTGTCCAATGAACTCTTGCCTCCAAACTTGATACTCTTCCCACTAGTGCATGCTTCCCCCTTTATCAACAAATGTTCACTATTTAGTAATAGTCTAAAAAGAGGAGAAACAAAAATCAACCAATCATACTGCATTTAAATATTAAAACTAACACTTGGTCATCGTAACTAGAAATAGTGAAACACACAAATACACCATTCAAAGACCTGACCCCCTCCCTTGTGCCTTTGGTCTCAAAGGAAAGAGACCAAACCCACATCTATCAAGGACTCTGCCTAGGCTCCATTAACCCAGTGAGAAGGACCTGCACTTGCCCTAAGAAGAAGACAGGTTCAGGGCGCCTGGGTGGCTCCGTTGTTAAGCGTCTGCCTTCGGCTCAGGTCATGATCCCAGGGTCCTGGGATCGAGTCCCGCATCGGGCTCCCTGCTCTGCGGGAAGCCTGCTTCTCCCTCTCCCACTCCCCCTGCTTGTGTTCCTGCTCTCGCTATGTCTCTCTCTGTCAAATAAATAAATAAAATCTTTAAAAAAAAAAAAAAAGAAGACGAAGAAGACAGGTTCAAAGATCTCATACCCTAACACTCCCAGGGGAAATGCCTTCAGGAGTTTTGCGTTACCTGTTGCTCCCTGCGCACCACATGTCAGCCCAAGACTTGCTTTCAGTTCTTGACTGCTCAGAGAGTGATCCTGGGGAAAGCTTATCAGAGAAGGAAAAAGCAAGCACATCTACTCCATCCTCACTTCCTCACACACCAAGCAAACCCTGGTGCTCAGCTCCATGGTAGGGTCACACGTGTCCCTGCAGAATCTGGCAGCTAGAGCCACATCTCCCCACACCCTTGGTTCCCAGCCATCACCCAGATCATGTGGGGAAGCAGGTGTCTTCTCTACATCTAGGCATCTCTAGTAACCAAGGCAAATCTCCCCAATGGCTCTCCCCGAGGAACTCTGGGTATAGATCAAGTTTTCCCTCTGGTCTGGATAAAGCAGACAACACTCAGGAAAACATAAACACAGACCTAGAAACACACAAACACAGTTGTGTGTACTTGTGTTTGACCCTGACTACTGAAGGAGAAAGGCCATCCAGTTTCTTGCAATTTGTCCATAAATGATTGTTTTGTGGCCCAAGCCTCCCTGCTTGTCCCCTGAGGAAATTCAGGGACTGATAACCACAGCAGCACATGTGGAGCACAAGACATTCAACAAATCACTACCCAAATTCAGCATGCACTGAATCTTAAACTCAATTCTGGAGATTTGAAAAAAAAGTCTTAATATCTTTCTGGATCTAAGCCTCAATCACTTGCCAAAAACATCCCTGGTCCTTTACTGAAAAATGGTTACTTAGCTCCAAAGCAGAGCATATTTATCCTTTTGGAATAATACGGCTCCAAGTG